TTTTTTCCATTCCTTATATCGTTGTTTGTGTGGAAGTCCAAAGACCACTCGTTTGTTAAGACCGCTGATTTCTGAAAACTACATTGTTTCTTCTTTGACTTCGGATTGCGCCCATTATCGTCATTCTACGGTGTGCTGCGAACCTGCTGCAGATGGCCAACCGGGGCAAGGTCCCAACTAGGACAGAGGATTGGATTGGACGGCTGAATCTCCACAGGTTTGTGGGAAGGTGCAGAAAAACAGAGATCGACCTGCGTTTCTGCATCTGTGCTTGAAACATGACCAGATTCGGGAGCTTAATCCAATCCTCACCCCATTATCGTCATTCTATTCTACAGTGTGCTGCGAACTTGCTGCAGATGGCCATCCGGGGCAAGGTCCCAACTAGGAAAGAGGATTGGATTGGACTGCGGAATCTGGACAGGTTTGTGGGAAGGTGCAGAAAATTGGAGATTGAGCTGCGTTTCTGCATCTGTGCTTAAAACATGACCAGATTCGGGAGCTTAATCCAATCCTCTCTCTTAGTGGGGCCTCGCCCCCGTCCTTGTGTGATTGCAAAGTCCTCTGATCTGTTCTGGAGATGAGTGATATAAAAACTCTGAAAAAGGGAGCAAAAAATTGAAAATTTTTAAATTTACAAAAAGAAAAAGAAAAGAAGAGAGGATGAAGAACCTGGTGTGAGGCTTTATGTGTTGGCGGGTTGGATATTACGGAGGACTGGGGTGGGGTGGTTGGTATCCCGACCGGTGACCGGTATGAAAATTCCACTTTTGAGCACAGTGTCCTGGCTGGCTGTAGTGGTCAAGGGACTAGGCTCTTGAGGCCGAGGTCGGTGGTTCGAATCCGTGCAAGGATGGAGGAGGACTTAGGCCTAGATGTACGGACCTATAACCGTTTTAGGCTTTACGCGATGGCGAGCCCAAAAAGTGGCTGCCTGTAAAAGAATGTGTCTAGCCCTAAGTGAAGACCACAACGTCAGAAAAAGGGCCCGCCGGATGAGAAGGTCGCTTGCCGCAGTTGGGAAGGTCGCTTGCTGCAGTTGGGTGGAGGTTGGACCCCAGGTTCTGTCACTAATCATCCCAGACCCGGGGTCCTTTTTCTGCGAGAAAAAGCGGCTGCCTGTCCTCGCGCTTTGTCACAGAGGCTGGGATCTAGACCCGGGCCAATAGGCAGCCCGGACTGCCTACCAGGGCCAGGGCTCGGCGTGCGGCCAGGTCAATACAGAGGAGGCCAGGCAGTCTACACATTTGGAGGCATTGGCTGCCAGCGCTATCTCTGCTCGAGAGAGTAGCGGCCACATAGAGCTCTGACGAGGAGGAGGAGGAGGAGGAGGAGGAGGAGGAGGAGAATGACCGTGGACTGCTGCTCCACCGGTGGCAGCCATAGCTTCGCTGGAGGGAAGTAGGGTGACGCTGTGTCTTTCCTGAAGGTGCTGCTGCCCACCAATAGTATGGAGCCACTGCTGTTCCCCACCTGGTAGATGTGAGCGCTCTTATCCCCACCGCAGCAGTGAGGAGTGGTGGTACTTCTCTGGTGGCGGCCAAGGAGAACTCAAGTGGGTAAGATGCTTCAGCATCATCTGGCAAGAGGGTTGTTAGAGAGAGGTGTGAGAGAGAGAGAGTAGTATGGTGTGTGAGAGAGTGGGAGAGTAGGAGAGTAGTTGGTGTAGGTGGACACGTGTACACTACTGGACATCATACTAGATTCTATCGAGTATGGCAGGCGAGAAGTGCGGGCTTTCTTTGTCGAGCGACTTCATTGTTAAGTCTCGTCTCGCTCTGTGTGCTCTCAGCTGCGTAATTCTGCTTTCGATTGCGCTCAACTCAACACATACGCTTGTCCCTGCTATGTGCCTTTTGCAGCTGTGAAACTTTTGAGTTCTCTTTGATTGGTTCCTTGCACTGGGGAGAAAATCAGTCTGTGTTTGTGATCTTCTTTGCACTACCTTCTTCCCCCGATTACAGCATAGCAGCGTACGGTCATTTATAGCTGTATTTCAGTCTATATGTGGCAGCTATAATGACCGTACGTTGTAGTCGGGGGATTACCCCACCAGTCCCAAATATGATTAGATAACATCAGAGAGATCAGACAACCTTTTTTTTTTTTTTGTTTTTGCGGCTGTGTGCGCTGGCTCCATAATAGTCCATATACATTCTGGGGAGCGTCAGTCGGGTTTGATAGGGAAGGAAGTGTTTGAGTCAATATTGCTCGATCGATCTCCGGGAAGGGGCGACCTGGATTCACCTCCCATCTCTTCTCAAGGGGAGGATGCTTGGGTGGTTAGGGGACGGGGTCTTCATGGGAGCCTGGATTAGGCCCTAGCTTCAGGGACACAGCCAATCTACGGGAAGGGGGCGACCTCGATTAACCTCCGATAAGAAGGCTGCTTGGGTGTTTAGGGGGGCTTTGTGGGCACCTGGATTAGGCGCTAGCATCAGGGACACACCCAGTCTTCGGGCAGGGCTGACCTCGATTAACCTCCCATCTCTTATCGAGAGGAGGATGCGTGGGTGGTTAGGGGAGGAGGGGGTCTTCATGGGAGCCTGGATTATGCCCTAGCTTCAGGGACACACCCCTTCCCTTCGGAAAGGGGCGACCTAGACCTTGATTAACCTCCGATCTCTTCACAAAGTGGGTCTGCTTTGGTGTTTAGGGGGCCTTCATGGTAGCCTGGGTTAAGCGCTAGCTTCTGGATCACACCTGACCTCAGATTCGTCTACTGGCAATTGCCGCGATTGTGTATCGTGATGGTGCTTTTGAAAGGCTTGCATAGCAGCCCTTCTCTAAGAAGTACTTAGAATTGAATCAATTGAAATTTGGAATTGAATTAATGGAATATTAAAGCCTTTTTTATTAAAGGTCTATGTTTTGTTGTGAGCAACCACTGAATGCTGCGAAAGGTCTGCCACCAGTGAATGTTTTTTTTTTTTTTTTTTTTTTTTTTTTTTTTAATAACATACCAATGGTTTTGGCTTCGGAGGCTGCAGTACTGAATACAATATTGTTTTCATAAGAAATTGAAAAATCATTTGCAAATTAGTAATTAGTAAATAGTAATTAGTAAATGGTAAATAGGAAATACTAAAATTACAGTTGCTTTTTCTGGCACTCTCAGGTCGTACGCACAGTACCAATCTTCTGAACGTATCTTGTACTGTAATTATGGCCGTACATAGATGTATCTGGCCGCATTTCCATCCAGAAACGAGTGAAAAGGTCCTACTGTAAGTATGCCCTCACTTCTCCACCACCGTGGCCCCATTCTCCCCCCCTCCTCCCAACCCCCCTCCCCCCAACCAGGGATAAGAAATGAAGAAAAGTTATGGAAACCATTGAAAGCACACTCATGTTGGAATATATTTATTTTTATTTATGGTAATTTAAATTTACCACTTTTATAAAAAAAAAATTCCCTTCTTCAGGCTTCTTGTTGAAAAAATGCACTGGGTGCATAACTCTGCGAAGTTACAAACATATTTGCGAGAAAAAAGGCAATAAAGAAAAGAGAAAAAAAGAGAAAAGAGAGAAGAAAAAAAAAAAAAGATGAAAAGAAAAGGCAAGGCGCGAGTAACATGTGGCGTGTTTTGCTCCCCCTGTGCGTTTTTTTGCCCAGGCTGGTAATCTGTGGCATGTGTGGTCCCCACCTGTTCTGTGCTGTTTGGATTGGGTGCAGCTGCAGAGTGGCTCACAGCCTGTGATTCTTTTTGTCAATTTGCTACTGCCCTCCCCCGGAAGAAAGAACGCGCCCTCCTCATTTTGACTGTGTATGGTACTGTACGGGAAAGGTCGCTTGTATACATCATTAATCAAGGTGTGTTGCGTTCGGGGGAAGGCGGTAGTTGAGTTTCACCCAGCTTTATGCGTTCGGGGGAAGGCGGTCGTTGAGTTTCACCCAGCTTTATCGTCAACAGGCTCAACACAGTTTTGTGAAATTCACTTCCCAGTCCGGATACATGTCTTAGTTACTTCCCAGTCCGGATACATGTCATGGGTACTAGCATGCGTATGTGTTCTTTTTTTGTTTTTGCCGCCTTCTTCTTTTTAAGCAGGGGGGCGCATACTGTAAATCCGGATGCACAGACATTACGAGTAGGGCCTAAATACTAAATAGTAGATAGGCACTCCATTTTAGGAATAACTAATCCATTTAGGAATTGTGAGTCGTCCTATTTTGGCGTTCTTGCTTTTGTAACGGTATCTGGAAAAAGGCACCTCAGTTGACGTGGCACGTAATTGAGGGGTGGGGTGGGGTTGGGGGGGGGGGGGGGGGGGGGATGGTACTCTGGACTGAGAGGTTATGGGGTAGAGATAGCAGCGCTAAGCTTTGGGCGATTAATGTGGCCCACGAAGCTTGGGAGGAGGTATTCATTTAAAGCACGCACACCGGCTAGCTTTTGTCTTGTGAGACTTGGGCATATATTTGTATTCAAACTCTTTTTTTTTCTGGCCTCATCTATGGCTGTACTTGCAGCCAGATTCCTCCACAAAAAGCCCCAGTGTGAGCATGCTTGAGACTTTCTGACTGCATCTGCCCGTAATTACAGTCTCATTCGGCCACAAAATCTCCAATTGTGAGCATGCCCTCGATCAGCTTGTCAAGAAAGTTACTGCGGTGAATGCATTTCCCCAGTTGGCTCCTGCAGTGCATCCATCGAGGGCTGGTCGAGCTCCGCATGCGGCTGGGCTCTCTCTCTCTCTCTCTCACACACACACACACACACACACACACACACACACACACACACACACACACACACACANTGGTGATTATTAGACCCCATCATCAACCGTCCGTTGCTCTCCTTCTTCTCCTCTCGTGGGCGCCATCACCCTCTCTCCCTAGTTTTGTGTCTTCATAAACACACACACACACACACACACACACACACACACACACACACACACAAACACACACACACACACACACACACACACACACACACACACACACAGAGAGAGAGAGAGAGAGAGAGAGAGAGAAGACTGTGGGGCATACAGCTGCAAAGTGAGCATGCAAATGCACATTGAATGATAAAAGAGGAGAGAAAAAGTCGACGTACGTATTCTTGCCCAACCCTTCACCCTTCTTGCGAGCGAAACCACACCAGGTCCTCTCATGCACTCTCAGTTACTGTGGCCCTGGGGACGAGTGTCTTAACCTGAGTACAACGCCCATCGGGTCAATACTGCTATATTTCTCAACTGAACGCTGCGACAAATACGCGGCTATAATGACCGGAGGCGATCTATTGGCGTGAAGACTGTACCCACCGATCGGGAAATTCTCGATTGCACGCCACGACCAGTGAGTGGTACGCGGTTAAGCCCGTGTGCTGGTTCCTTTTTTTCATCAAGCTATACTCACAGTTATGAAATCCTGACCTCTGCATTACCTCCCCTCCTTCCTCCCTTCCCGGCCCCTCCTCCTCCCTTCCCCTCCATGTAATAAGGGTAGATTTGACGGAATGACGTGGAGAAGTAGAGCGGCCTTGTGAGCGGCAATTCTTGCCAGAGTTTTTAGAGGCCACAGAGAGGGTTGGTGTGTCTGTCCATTTTTTGAGGTTTGGTAGACGCCAGGAACAAGGGTCCATTTCTGTCGTCCAGCCTCTGCCGGACGTCCGGCAGAGGCTCTGTAGACGCTGGGTGCAAGACTGCAAGTCCATTTTTGGGGGGAGTACCTGTGGTGCTGTTAGCTGTTAGCCTCCCTTTCTGGCCTCCAGCTGACCCAGTGATAGGGCCGTGCGTAAGGTAGTTTCAGGAGGAAGTGGTCGCCGACCACGGGCGGTTTAGACCGCCCGAACTTTTTTGTGTAATAGGATCCAAAGGGCGGGTCCTGCCCTCTGCATTCTCCATCGGCGAGCGGCGAGGGGTATCTGCGTGGTCTGTCTTCACCGGAATAGAACACCCTGTAATTGGTAATGAGGGCTGTATCGAGACTCGAAAGTCGCCGTAATCAGTTTGGGCGTTCTTTTCGGTGGGAGAGGGTAGGTTGTGAATCCTACCGTCTTCACCCGAATAGAACGCCCGGTCATTATCGCTGCATCTGGACTGAAAGTTTGGGCCAAATGCCAGCTATAATGACTGCGCGTTCTATTCTAGGTGAATCCTAGATGGGAATAATAGAAGGGCCATTTTCCTAACCATGGTTAGGAAACACAGTTTTTACGGTACCTACCTGCAGTAAATCAACTAACTGAGGTTTCCCAAATGTACTGCTGGAAATAAAATTCACGCCAAATTTTTGTATTAAGTAATTGACTCTTAACCGCGGTTTACCATCCATGGCTGGAAACATCTTTTACTGTACTCTATCTGAAAAGAGTAAAATACAGGTTGCAACTTTGCAGTAGTAATAAGTAATGTAGTTTTACTGTGCTCAGTAACTTTTCAGTAACTGGAAAGACAGTTTTACAGTTACCGTACTCAGTAACTTAGTACTCATGAACGAACTGCGAACTGCAGCCACAGACACATTAGCCTTTGTTACTAAGTTACCCACCATAGGCCTAGAAAGTTGGAAACCAGTTTACGGTACCAGGTATGGCGCTAAGTAACTTTTTCCTAACCATGGGTTGAATTTTCCTAACCATGGTAAGTTTTCCTAACCAGCATAGGCCTGGAAAGTTGGAA